CTGTGGCACCTCCTGAGTGGACTGCACCTGGGGACCTAACTCAGGCAGGGGCTCTCCCAACTGAGCAACATCAGCCTCTCTTATGACTTCTATAGCTCTTCTTATAGCTCTGATCACTGACCTTTAAATATCCACCACCTACCACATGTAGTGCTTTGTAAATCTTGCCTCACATTTGCCGAACTTCCAAGCAAGACAGACACTAGAATGCCCACTTACGATCGGTCAAAGCCCAGAAAGGCCTGCTGACCACAGGGATCTCACAAGTGCTTTGATCCCATGGATGAAGCAGGCTGGATGGATGCTACAAATGCAAGGCTTTCACTGGCCTCTACATGGCGCTTGTACAGCTAGGGGAAACGGCACCCAGCTCACACAGGTTTCACTGGGGACTTGTTCTTCCAAGTCCCCTGCAAATTTGCAACATGAAATTATGTATCAGTCACTCTGGAGCCAAAGTTTTGAAAAGTATTAAAAAGGTACTACAAACCCCACTAGTCACAAGAGCAGATGGGCACGGTCAAGGTTCGTATGCTCAAGGGTGAAGCCACTCAAAGAGGTTAGATCTGGAAAAGCAAACATTGCCCTTTCTCTCCATCACTCTGGTTAAACAGCGAAGGCCTGGCGCAAACCAGTTTCCGCCTGATTCTGAGAGATGTAAAAACATCAGGCCACATGATGTGGGGGAGGCAGGCTTTCCTGGCCTCCCCTGGACAGAAGCTCAGTACTCTGGGCTAGAACAACTGTCTGCTTGCAGCTGTCCCTACAGCTTTGCTGTCCCGGACATGGGGTGGGGGAGACTTGACAATAGAAATTCTTCTGGACTATGCAGGCAAGGCAAGAAACTTTAGCCTCATTATAAGGCAAGTCAAAGGGGACCCAGCCAATGCCATCAAGTGATGTTATAGACCTCAAGATTTGGTGGAATAAAGGTCCTGAGCACCTCTCCTGCATACATTAGGAACTGCTGAGGTGTGGAGCAGACAACAGAAAATATCAATGTGTCGATTTTCTCGAAACAGGAGATGTCAGTAGCTCTCTCTCACACACAAAGACTACACTTGTCAGAAGGAAGGAAGAAATAAGCGAGGGGGGTATCTCTATTTCTACCTTAGAATGTTTTCTGAATGACTCCAGGTAACAACTGAAACTATGGTCCCAAGTGGTGTATGTGTACATGTGTGCTGTGTGTGTGTGTGTGTGTTATATGTGTATACTATGTGTGTATATGTGTGTGTGCTATGTATGTGTATGGTGTATGTATGTGTAAATGTGTGTATGTCTACGGTGTGTGTGTGTGTGTATGTGTGTGTGTGTATGTATGTGTGGTGTAGTGTGTTAAGGCTCAAACTCAGTACTTCTACCACTAAACTATACACCTCTAGACCTCCTCTGAACATCATTAGGGCTAACTACTTCCAAGTAACATTGAACCAGACTATAAGAAATAGGTTTATCTAGCAAATTTCATTAACAAGCTGTGTCTTGAAACATTAATGCCTGCTTTCTATATTAATATTTATATCTATGCAACTCCTACATATTTATTATGAAAAAAATCAATGTGTCTATTTATGTCTTGCTGTTAATCCACACAAGGTCTTATACTTGTACAGTCATTATGCCACACCTATGCCTAAAATAGAAAGCAGAGAGATCAGCTCTTTTGGAAATGGTTGATGCCCCATTTTATTCCTCTTGGTTCAGAGTCCATAGAAAACCTCAAAATTTTTGCACCACAGTCTTATCATTTTGCAGTTGAACCTTTACTATTTACTGTTTTGGGGGTTATTGTTGCTTGATTGGTGTGTGTGTGTGTGTGTGTGTGTGTGTGTGTGTGTGTGTATTTTATCGCATGTAATTACTTCTGGTTGCAGACATACCTAAACTTTTTAATAACTTTGCAAGAAATGCTGAAAACGCAAGCTTTCCTATGCGTGAGCACACACAATTAACTCAGGAGAAACCATAAAAACTTAATGAAGGCCATGAAGAAACTGAAACTTGACTGGGGAGTTTGGCACGCTCCGTTTCACCAATCCTGGAGCAAATTTTGAAGGCAGCCGTGTCAGCTGATTGGCACAAGCCCTGAAAGCTTCCCTGGCCACTGGCCTCTAGCAGGATGCCTGATCCCAGTTAAACCAGGCAAGTGCAGACAAGAAGCACACACAGGAATTAGGACCGTGAGGCAACTGCTTCACTCAGGGCGGCTCAGCTGGGTGTAGTTTCGGGACTGTAGTGCTGTCAGGAACAGCTGCATACTTTCTGGGGTGTCACAAGGAGCAGACAGCCCCTCCAGCAGAGAGATGCTTGGCACGCAAGGTCTAAGGTACCCAATTTGCAAAGACCTAGTCCAGGTCTGAGCAGCAACCATGATTCACGAATGCTTCCTACTTGTTATCTGCCTCACACAGTTCACTTATTTGTTTAGTTGCTAGTATGAGCTTCCAATTGTTGGCTAACAAGCAACAAGTCGTGGTCTCTAAGTCACAGGTTGAGCTAGCAAAGAAGTGAGGAGTGAGCCGGGTGAGCGGCTGCCCTTGGACACTGTATCATTCCTGTACTTTCTCGTCTGACAGGATAGTGGGACGCCTTCACCAAAAGGTCAACAAAATGGTGTTCTAAGGCATTAAAGTAAAAGGGTCTATGTTAGGAGTGTGTCTCCAATCACGACACCGCTGTTTAGCTTTTTCAATGCCTTGCTGCTTTGTGTGGGGGGCAGAACTCTGGCGGCTGACTAGAAGTCACCAGGATAACACAAACACACAAGCAAATTAAAAAAAAAAACATAACGCCCAGAAATACCAGCCATCAAAGAGACAGGGCTGCGTGTGGATCCGATAATACGTTCTTCAACCTTGGACTAGATGACTTACTAATCTTTGTGTTACGATTCTTCACTAGAAATAGGAAAAATGAAATAGGTAACCAGTTTAAAAAGAAACAACTTCAGTGTTATTCCCAGGTCACTCCGAGTCATGGAGATCTACTCACAAGGAACCAAGGTAAAAAAGGAGCTCCTAGAGCTACTTAGAAGCTCTGTAACTTGGAGACAGGAACTGCTACGGCACGCTATCATGAAGTTTCCACCACTTGCACTAGGGGGCAGAATTCTACCCAAGGGGAGACCTTGAACTCCGCAGGTCCTCGGGCTTAGGGAGTGAGCCTTGTCGCCCCTCAACAACTACACACAAATTTTCCAAAACAGCACCAAGTTAAGAACTGTTTGCCCTAGACACAGAACCTCAGTTTTCTTGTAGATAAAAGCCCACTGTAGCCGTCATTTACTCCTCAAAGTGCCAGTGACTTCCTACAGGCTCGAACCAAAAGCCAATGAATTAAGAAATGCTAAGGGTGCGCGTGGGGCGGGGGGTCCCCAATTTTCTACGTATTTCTCTTCTTCCTAAGTGACGGATGATTAATTTCTTTCCAGGCTGCCTTTTCAGGGTGATAGAGACAACCACTTTGGAAAAAGTCAATTCGATCATTACACAATACATCACTGTGGCTGCCTGAGAATACAGTAAGTGAACGTCAGACCTTGAAACACTATAGTCAATTAAGTCAGATAAGGCAAGTTGGCTAATGCGGAGGCAAACTCTCACCACTCTGATTTGCTGGAAGATTCCAAGGCTGTCCCGGATTCACAAAACATCGCCCTGGCTTTCAGCGGAAATCTCATCAGTCTCCCTCAAGTCAGCTAAGTTTACTCCGAGCCACTTCAAACCTCTAAACTTATACAGAATTTATTAAATAAACACAACCAAGAAAGGAATCGGGGCCAAGAAACCAGAGCGGTTCTTCATCCCAGGGGAAAAGGCAACTTTCAAGTCGCGTCTCAAGTAACTGTGGTGTCCCGCCCTCAAAGACCCTAAAACGGGCATCGGTTTCATCTTCTAAAATAACCTTTGTTTGCCCTAAACGAATTTTATTTAAACTTGAATTCAAGATCTGCCAAAGAATGACATTAAATACGGGATCTTTCGGTCTCGTGCTCTGGTATTATCTGTGACACACAGCCCTATCCGACTAGAAGCGAACCCAGGACCTGAAGGCCCAACGAGGCAGGGCAAGCAGTGGTTGACTGAAATCTGCCGGCCCGGCTCACACTTCGTTAGCCCGCTCCTCTGGAAGCCACTGCCCCCTGCACAGGAAGCCCGCACGTTCGGCAAAGGAAGTCCCAGACCTTTCTTGGAGAAAGGAACGACCCGGCTGCGCCTTTTACCGCCTTTCCTGCACCCGGGCCGCCCCGGCCCCCAGCTCTCCCCCGCCCGGCGCCCGGGGACTCACCTGGCGCGGAGTGTCAGCCAGCCACCCACGCCCGGGGACATGCGAGAGCAGGACGAACCCAAACCTGCCTAGGCTTACTCATCCGAGACTCGGGGCCGGCGGAGGGAGTGGGGTTTCAGGAGACTCCCACAAAGTTTCCCCTCCCGGGACGCGCAGGCGCCGGGGCGAGCGCGGGGTGCCGGTCCGGGTCTCGGTGTCCGCCAGGTCCCCGCCGCCACTCACCTCGGGGAAGAAGCTGCCCATTGTTCCGGTGCCCGCACCTTCCCGGCGCGGCTGCAGTCGCGGAAGTCAGCGCAGCGGCAGGTCCCGGGAAGCCACGCGTGTCACGGCGCGCCTCGGGGCGACTCCAGCCCGCGGAGCCGCCGCGCTGCCATCCCCCGGTCGCCGCTGCTCCTCAGCACCTTTTGTCCGCGTCTCGGACCTCCGCCGTCCCAACCGCAGCCTTTGTCTCTTCCTCCAAGTTCCTCACTTCTGGGCGAAGTGCTCGCGGGCGGAGAACAGCTGTTGGCACATTCTTCCCGGGCTGGGGGAGGACGGCCAGGGGCTGGCGACGCGCCTGCCTCCCTCTAAGCTCCGCCGGGGGCGCTCGGTGCGAGCGGGGGACTGCGGATCACCAGCGCGCCAACAACGGTGAGCACCGCCGGCCCCAGGCGCAGCCGGCTCTCGCCAGCTCCTGGTCTCGCTTACTCCTGTGCTCCGCCCGCCCGGCCCGCAAACCCTGCCCCCGCCCCAGAACCACGCCTCCATGAGTAGAACCACGCCCACTCTGGAACCGGCCCCGCCTCCGAGAGCTCCTCCTACAACCTGCCGGGTCTGAGGGCCCGGGCTCAACTGCATCCAGACCCCGCCTACTCCGGTGCCTGGTCACGCCCATAGTAGCCCCGCCCACAGCCCGCTCAGGCTTCCCACTTGCCGCTCCCTCATCCGACTTCCACCCAGACCACGCCTACCGGATGCCCGGTCACGCCCACAGGAGCCCCGCCTTCAACGTTCCTTGTGAGCGACAGGCAAGACATTCCCGACTATCACCTAGACGCAGTTTGAATCCTTGGCAACCCTGCTCTTCTCCTGCGTCTTCTCGCCACCTGCCTAGGCACCATTAGAGGATCTGACTCTTCCCTCTGACCTTAGAGACTAGATAGTTACTGGACATGGGAAAGGGGCCCAAAGGCGGTGAGTGTTAGCCGCTCCAGGGAACCTGCTCCATGCGGATCTCATCAGTTCGGCTCTGCCGGTGAGCGATCCCTGGACAGGAAGCGGAAAACCGAGGCGAATCCCAACTTCTGCAAGCCGCCTTTCTGTGTCGAGTTTCTCTGCTTCAAGTCGGGTTAGAAGAAGTTTTTTTTTTAAAAGCCGCCGGGAAAATGTCTTTTACAGTAGAAGGGACGTGTGCTATAGTAACTTACAAATGTAACCCTGATGTAAAGAAAACCGGCAGATGGAAGGAAGAGGGATGGATGTTCTCTTCCACCGGGAGTCAGTCCTGGTGTGACCACTGAGGTAACTCCTCCAGCTTTAGTGTGGCCAAGAAATCTGGGGATCTGTGGCACGGACTGAGATTCCTAAGCATCTGCTTTCCTAACAAGATTCCAGATGGCCCTCCTAAGGTGGTGCTTGACCCGGTACAGAAAAGAACGCCAACAGCTCTGAGGGAGTTTCCTTCTATAGCAGTTTAGCAGGGCCAGGCCATCCAAGCACCGGATCCATGAACCCTTTGAACCGACCGGCTGTCTGGGTGTTGCCAGATTCAGGAGCCACAGCTGGCCCAGCTGGTGACTGACAAACTGGAAACCACAGTGAATTGGTTAGAGAAGTCTTTCCTAACTGCTAGCAGCTCAAGAAGACTCCTTCCAGGGAAGTCTTTCTGGGAAATGATACAGCCCTCCTCATCCCAAGCTGCACCCCACCTGGTTAGGTACTTGGGTTTATTCCAGCTATTGGAAGACCAGTCTGATTATGACTTTTCCTTGGTGTTCTATCCACCTGCAATTGGGAGAGTGGAAGCTTTCAGAGACAGGGTATTGTGCTCAAAGACCGATTGAAATGACTGAAGAAATGAACCATCTTATAAACCTGGTCTGGAAAGTTAAGCATCTTTGTAACACAAAGCAGTACACTAGCGTTGGTATCCCTACTCCCTTCTAATCGCTTTGGAGGAAGAGTCAAGGTGTAACCTAATTAATGACACATGTGCTGTACTGTGTGCTTGGTTTCTTCCCCAGGTTTACAAGAGGATGAAGGAAAGTTAAGAGGGAGCCAGGATAAGTATCAACAGTTCTCAACATCAACCAAAGCGCTTGGCCAAAGGAATCCTGCCACCACCAACTGCGTTCAGATAGGGCAGCTGAACAATTAAGTCATTATGGCATTAATCTGCACACATCTCTGCAAGAGAAATGATTTAGGGAGCTTGTTGGAGTGTGTGGGTGTGGCTTGGTTCCCTGAAATAGTCCTGCTCCAGACTTGTTGGGCAACCTTGGCCCTGGCCTTTCAGAAGTCACCATCCAAGGCAATGCTGGCTAATCAGCTGAAACAGATAGATGTGCTGCGCTAACACAGCTGTGAGTAACAGAGGAGCCTGGGGCTACCAAACTGCATGGGCACTCAGTACTTTTCCCTCCCTTTCTGCAAATTTAAAATAAAATAAAAAAACTAAAGTCTGTTAATTTTTATAAGACAGAATCTGAAGCATCCTGAGATATTCCAGAATTCTCCGTGTAGCTTGAGAAGACCTTGACTATCTGATTCTCCTACCTCTACCTACCAAGTTTGGGGCCTCATGTCCCCTACCAACTGAGTCATAGCCCCAACTTCAGGTGTTGAAACAAAGCAGCTCAGGCCCATCTCAAACTCAGTATCCTCCTGCCTCAGCTTCCTGAGCACTGGGATGACAGGCATGGGCCAACACACTGGGCTTGGTTTGTTGTTTTTAAAGGGCTGTTGTGTTTGTTATTATAATTTAAAGTAACAATAAAGAACTACGTGTTAAAACAACACAATTTGAGAAAAACAACTGAATGATCACAAATGAAAACTACAGTAAATAAAATGGTATTGCTTATTTCTTTTTTAATAGAAAATATTGAGTTATTAAATTTACTTCTGCATTTATTCTGATTTAACATTTTATTTTGATTGAACAATGATAATCTGGTCACTTGTATACATTTTATGTATTTTAATATTCTTTCATAATGTATGAAATATTCTTTATATTACATCAGAACAATAAATACTTCAAAGTGTTTATTTATGACATGAAGTCTGAAGCCCATATGAATGAATAGTTTTGACTTTTTGTTTGGATTTTGTTGAGACTAGATCTTTTTATTTAGCCTTGGCTGTCCTGGGACTCACTATATGAACCCAACTGGCCTCAAAGTCAGAGATCTGTTTGCCTCTGCTTTCCTAGTACAGGGACTAAAAGCATGAGACACCATGCTCAGCTCATAGTTGGGACTATTATAAAAATATTAATATTGCTTGCCACTTAAGATATGATTGATAACCATACGCTACTTAACTCATATAGAATAATTGCACACCAGATTCTGATTATGAAGTTGAATTTATGCAATCACTTTATTTCTTTAAAAAAGTGTTTAACACCTAGGGCAACATTGTAAAAGAGAATTGAAACACAAATGGAACAAAAGCCTGGCCCTGAGGTAGAGTGGGTGCCTGGAAATTTGCAATTTGATAAGCCCACAGGTAGCCTTCCTGAGGCTTGACAATCCTTGTGGAGTTGGTTAGATTTTCTGTCTGTGTGCACACTCTCAAGAAGGTGGAAAGATAAATCTTAGCAGTAAGACTGTTTGCAGAACAAATAGCGAAGTTATTCTAAGCATTCTGAGCAGGCTACACTACCTCCAAGCCTTGCGGGTGGAATAAGTTCCTTGAGGGGCTGTGTTGAATTCACAAGGTCTCCAACAAGCCTGACAGAGAAAGGAAGGCACTTTAAGTCAATAGATTTCTAAGAATATCTACTCATGCTACTTTTCCTAGTTGATTGGTTGGTTGGTTTTTTTGGTTTTTTTTTTTTTTTTGAGTTGTTAAAACTTCCTCTTGGGGCTGTGCTACTGACTGGACAAAGCTAAAGGTCAAACACTGCCTCTGTCAAGGGACAAAGTCACAAGGATGTTAAATCTGAGCCACGCTCTGCTCTCAGCTCTCCTACACAGGACTCACAGATATTATACCAGGCTAATAAGGTGCAAAATCAAACACCTCCAAAACTGAAGTGAAGCTTTCTTACTTACTGGCAAATATTAATCCACAACTGGAAAAAAAATGACTTATCAGCTGGATCATTTTCCCTAGCTCAAGCTCTGTATGTCTGTGACTGACTTGAGTAATATAACCCTGCCCTGTTTGTTCTCCACCGTGTGCTTGTTTTCTGCTGCGATGTGTTGTCTTAATTTCCTTTATACGTTCACACGGAGTTCTGTTGTTGTTCGCTCTCTTGATGCTGATGCTTATCTTGATGTGTGTGCAGGTGGAATGGTTCCACTATCTTTATTTTTATTAAATACCCAGTGCTTAATTGCTCCATGGTAATGCTTTAATTACTAGTTAGAGAAAGGGAAAGTTCTGGAGGGTTTTTTCACACAAATTAGAAGTTAATAACTGACACAATTTAAAACTGTTTTCATGCTTAACTAAATAGCAGGCCACCCTTTTGGTTCACATATAGAACGGAGTACTTAAATTTTCAATTTTTTGTCTCTTTGAACAAAGAATTGAAAATTAAAACGGTAACTTTAAAATGTTTTTATGTGTAGGGTGCTTTGCCTGCATGCACATCTGTGCATCATACCTGTGGATTGCATTTTCATGCCTGGTCTGGTCCCGTTGAGTATAATGCATCATATAATAATCTTGGAAAGTCTGTATGGTTTCCTCCTTGATTTTGTTCTGTCTTCTTGCCTCCATTACTCCAAAATGGCTGCAGGCTGACTTTCCAAAGTATATCATCTCTCACCTCTGTTATCACTCACAATATAGTCACCTTTTCCAAACATCAGGCTCTCACTTGTTCCTTTCTTATACCTTCAATCGTTCCTGCTCTTTCCCCAAGCCAACAAATACAATTGTGTCTACTCTGAAAACATTTGATCCTTAGTCCAATTATTCCCTGAACCACTAGACTGTCTCTCTTCAGATTCCTTGCTATGGTTGAATGTGGTTCATTCTTCCCAAAGGTTCCTGTGTTGGAGGCTAGGTTCATAATGGAATGGTATTGAGAAGTGGTAGAACCTGAAAATGCAGCTTAGCTAGCAGAATGCTAACCTAGCACATATGATGCCCTGCGTCTGAGCCCCAGGGTCCTATAAACCAAAGTGTATTGGTTACTTCCTGTCACTGTGGTCAAATACAGTGACCAAGGCAACTTACAGAAGGAAGAGTTTATTTGCACTTCCAGTTCCACAGGGTGAGAGTCCTTAAGGGCAGGAGAGCAAGACAGTGGATGAGCAGAGCAGGAAGTTGAGAGAGATCATGTGTTTGTTCACAATGTGAAGCAGAGAGAGAGAGAGAGAGAGAATTGAAGTATGGATGAAACTATGAACTCTTAAAGCCCACCCTCAGTTAAATAATTCCTCCAGCATGACTACACTCCCTCTTGGCAAGCATCAACTGGGGACCATGTGTTCAAACACCTGAGCTTCTGGGGGACATTTCTCATCCACCACACAGACACACACAATAACAACAATAATGGCATCTACAGCCTCAAGTATTTAACACTTGGTCCCCAGTTGGCAGTGCTGTTTGGGAAAGCACACACTAGTAATTCTGGGACTCAGTAAGTGGAGGCAGGAAAACCAGAAGTTCAAGATCGTCCTTGGCTATATAACAAACCAAAGGTCAACCAGAAACAATTCGTTGTAGAGGCTCCACTGTTGGTAGGAATTAATGCCCACCCCTGAAAGTAGGTTTTCGTAAAGTGGGGCTACCCCAGCCGGGCAATGGTGGCGGATCTCTGTGAGTTGGAGACCAGCCTGGTCTATGGAGCAAGTTCCAGGACAGGCTCCAAAACAATACAGAAAAACCCTGTATCGAAAAACAAAAACAAAAAGGGGGGCTACCCCACCTACTCAGTGTCTTTTACAGACTCCTGCTTCCCATCCTGCTTTTCTCACCATACACCTGGATCATACTTTTTGATGATTCAAGCCCCAGAATCATCCAGCGAGCTAAGGTTTTCCTTTGCACATTGTCAAGCCTCCAATGTTCTAGTACAGTAAGGCAGAAGGGACATAGTCCTTGCTCTGTGTTTGTGCTCTATCTGGCAAGCTGTCAACACTTTAGTCCTCTGTGATCTGATGTTTGTCCTCTGCCCCTGTTTTAAAATCTCATCCTCTTTGATGTGCCCTTCCTTTGAAATCCCCTAGTCTCTTAATTTCAAGGCCAGCTTCTAACTGTGCAACCTGTAGAGTTAGCTGCAGTGTCCTATCCTTTGATGTAGCTATCTTAAAGTGCTCGAGAATTTTTTTAAGTGCCCTGCTTTTAATCTGGCACTAGGGCCTACATACTGTGTGCCTAGTCCTTCATAACTCTTGCGACACTGCATTTTTCTCCACTCTTATCTCTTGGGCTTCTCTCTCTCTCTTACGTCATTATAGGCAGGGGTGCCGGGGATGGAACAGAGGGCCCCATGCATGCTGGACAAATGCACCCCCACCTCTTCCTGGCCCTTTTGAAAGCGCTTCTCCCTCTCTCCTCCAAAACGGGGTCAACTCCAAGCATGCAATTCCTCCCTACTTGTAGCTAACATCCTCACCTCCAATTCTCATGACTTGTATTACCATTCCTTTCTAAACGATGCCTGCCATGCTGAAACCAAGCTGAAGCTTTAAAACAGCTCAGGGTTCTTTTTACATTTTCTGCCCCAAAGAGAAGTGTCTTCCCTCTCCCCATCACCTTCTGCCAACTTCCTGGTGTCTGTTAAAGGAGTAGTCACAGTGACGGGAGGTCACACATCCTTTAGGCCTACCCTGCAGCAATCAACATTCACATCCTTGTACATAGAGCATCCTGCCTTTGGAATCTTGTTCTACCCAGTGGAGAATTCCCAAACCACCCTTACTCCGAATACATGGCTTTTGTTCTACTGATTTCTATACTCACGGAAGGAAGGCTTAATCAAGGAATCTAATCCCAAAGGTTAGGGTAACCACATAGAGCATGGTGGAGGCAGTGGCCCTATGCATCATCAATTCTGTAATGTATCTTCAATCAAATATCTGTATTATATGGGCCCCCATATACCCCAAAAGAAGGCTTGAGGAGCTGCATCAGAAAAGCACAGGTGTGGCCACCCCTGTGTGAAATGTGATGACCCCTGACACCTATCACTGGGCCCTGAAGGGCCGTATATCCTCTCATAAGGTTGCCTGGAAATACCACCATTTATTTTGCTTCTTGAACGAGTTGAGACTATGTCTGGACTTTTCCTCCAAAAGTTCCTGTGAAGAGTGCCTCTGTTGGGTGTCAGGGTGGGAATTCAGAGAATTGCGCAGAGTCGTTTCTAGAAGGGTGTCCAGAGCTGAGCTGTTGAAATAGTGAAAAACCTGGACACAGTCTGACCGCCTCTCAGAGGCATTAAGTACACAGTGGCAAATCACACAGCGGCACACCCTTTGGGGATAGTTACTAATTCTCAATAACAAGTCACCCAAACTAAGGGCTGAATCCCACCGTGGGCTTATTCACACAGCTTTGTGGTGTGACTTGGCCCCTGCTGTGGCTGTCACCAGTTCAGTCTCAGAGAGGCTGAAGTCAACTCCTTGGTGATCCAAAGTGGTCCCTGCATGGGAGGAACCTCACTGGAGCATTTGGAAGACTTTCTCTATCTCTGCTCCCTCTCCCTTTCCCTGCCCTCTCCCCTCCCTCTCCTCCTCTCTCTCCCCCTCCCCTCCCCTCCCTCTCCTCTTCCCTCTTCCTCTCCCCTCCCTCTCCCCCTCCCTCTTTCTCTCCCCTCTCTCTCCTTCTCCCTCTCCTCTCCCTCCCCCTCCCTCTCTCCCTCCCTCCTTCCCTCCCTCCATCTCTCTCCCTCTCCCCATCCCTCCCTTCATCAGGGTGCACAGAAAACTTCTTCTTTCTTGCTTTTTTTTTTCCTGTGGCAGGTTATCTCTATTATGTGACTCTGGTTGCCCCGAAACTCGCTTTGTTGACCAGAGGGATCTCTGCCTCGGGACTGCTGGAAGACTTTAGTGCACCACCATGCCCAACCTGGAAGACTTTTTGAGAAGTGGCCCAGAAGTCAAATGATGTTAACCATGCGTAAGTAGTCAGACCCTGAACTGGGGCTGACAGGGACTCTAAGCTCTCTTAACAGAAGAGTGTGCAAAGAATCTGTTTGCAAATTTGATGGGAAGAGGACTGTGTCCATCAGTTGTCAATATGGTCACGTAGTTGAGAGAGAAAAAAAGCAAAAGACGGAAATTTTTATCTTGGCTCATGGTTTTAGAGGTATCAATCAGACCATGGTCACTGGCTGTATTGCTGTGCACGTCTGATAAAACAAACATCATGGCATGGAGGGTATGATGGGACAAAGATATTCACCTGGTTGGCCAGGAAATAAAGAGGGGGAAGGCACAGACCAGGAACAAGAAGTATCCTCCCTGGGGCCTGAGCACACAGCTCAATTGAGAGAGTGCTAGCCTAACATGCACACAGACCTGGACTGATCTCAGCACCACCTAGAGGTAGGAGTGGCAGGCTCAGAAATCTAAGGTCATTGTCAGCTAAGAAATGAGTTTGAAGCTGGCCTAGGATACATGAGACCGGGGTGGTGGTCACTACAGAGCATGCCCCCCGGTGACCCACTTTCTACAGTTAGGCCCCACCTCTACGGTTTCTACCACCTCTCCAGAGCCCATTCAATCACAACCCTAGACTAATAGATAATCCACTGACAAGGCTAGAGCCCTCATGATCCATCAGCTCTGAATACCGCCTGAGCCTTCATCCAATGAGTCTTCTCAGGAGTTGGGAGGATGCTTAATATCTAGACCATAATAAGAAAGCAAAATTTACAGAAGGCCAGGTTCATAAGTGTGCAACTCAGTGGCATTTAATATATTCATACTGTCATGCAAATATAGCCACAACGTAGCTCTGGAGTGTTTTTCACAACCCCCAAACAAACCCATATATAGCACTCTAATTCGCATACACCCACAGTTTCTAGATACCACAAATTTGTTTTCTATTTGGATTTACCTGCTCTGGATATTGTGTATAAATGCAAACAGGCAACAGAGTTTTGTTTTGTTTTGTTTGGTTTGGTTTGGTTTGGTTTGGTTTTGAGACAGGGTCTCACTTTGTAGCTCAATCTGGCTTGAGACTCATTATAAAGACCAGGCTGGCTTTAATTCACAGAGATCCTCCTGCCTCTGCCTCTGCTGAAATTAAAGGCCTGAACACCATGTACCTGCCTTTGAAGAAATATTTCATCCATATGATTTAACAGCTAAAACAACAAAATTATGGGATGTGAAGAAATAAAGTTATAAAACAATGTCTCATCTATCTTTT